AATTGATTTATGTGAAATTTTTGTTATTTTAGCTTGACTGCAAAATTCACATTTATTGGAATCATTAACATTTAGTTTAGGAATTAGGCCTATGTGGCTTGCATTAGAAATGATTCGTTTATTAACGTGACAAAGTCTACCATGCCAAATATTAAAGTCACACAAAGAGTAAACAGAAGGAGAAATTTTATTCAAATCAACATTCAACTTAAATATGCCATCAGTGGCATACCCTTTTCCAACAAAAATATCATTCTTAGTGATGGTGTACAGATCTGCCCCTAATGTTTGATTAAACCCAGCCTTATTCAAAAGAAAACCAGAAACAAGATTCTTCCTAATTTCAGGAACATGCATGACGTCCTTCAAGATCAAAGTCTTTCCTGAAGTGAACTTCAGCTCAACATCTCCAATTCCAGCAACATTAGTGGTGTGAGCATCTCCCAACAACACTTTCTTATCTTCAGCATTCATGTATGTCTTGAACATAGCACGATCATAGCAGACATGACGAGTGGCGCCAGTGTCTAACCACCAACCATCACTTCCACCAACCATGTTGATTTCAGTGATCATGGCAATAAGTTGCTCATCAGTCAGGTTGACCTGAGCATTTGAGCCAGCTGCAGGTTTAGGCCTGCTCCTACATTTCTTTGCCATATGGCTCGGTTTCCCACAGTTGTAGCAAGAGAAAACCGGAGCATCATTTCTTTGAGGTGGTGGTTGTTGCTTAGCAAATGGAGCCGATGGGGCCCTAGAGGGATTCCCATTCTTAGTTCGGTTCATAGCACTGCGGTTCTGATTCTTTAAAGGTTTGCCCGTAGGCTTCAGAACCGCACCGAATTTCTTTTTGTTGTTAGACACAACTAAGACTTCTTCTTTCTGGTCTTGTTTCCGAGCCTCCTCTTCAATTCGGAGGCGGGTAATCAGACTCTCGATTGAAAATTCTTTTGTTTTGTGACGAAGCACATTTTTGAAACCTTTCCAACCAGGGGGCAGTTTGTCAATAATTACAGCAATTTGAAATTGTTCATTGAGGGGCATACCTTCTGTAATTATCTCATGAGCAATCTTCTGAATTTCGTGGCTTTGAGCTTCCACCGACTTCTCATCCACCATCTTGTAGTTCAAGTAGCGGCTGACAGCAAATTTCTTCGCACCTGCTTCTTCAGTATCGTATTTTCTTTGCAGAGCCTCCCAAACCTGTTTAGCAGTCCTGTAGCTACTGTAGTAGTCATACAGATCATCAGTAAGGCTGTTCAGAATGTGATTTTTACACAGATAATCATTCTCGTGCCATAAGGCGATTTCTTTTCGGAGCTGCAAATCATCTGAGTCAGACATTTTGGAAGTCCCGTCTGAATCTGCAAGTGAGTTACCATTAGGTAGTTCAGATGATGCAGAAGGGACAACCGGGATATCCTCAGTCAGAACGTGGGCAACCTTTTTCAGAGTTAAGAAAAACTTCATCTTAGCTTGCCAACGTTTGAAATTGGAACCCTCAAACCTGAAAGGTTTGTCAGAGACCGAAGCGGCCGCAGTAGAACCGATAATTTCCTCAGTTGCCATGGCAGTTATTAAAACTTCTTAAAATTGTTGTTTTCGGATTTAAAAAATTGAGTTTGGCACAAGGAAATTATCGGGACGAGTCGCGTACTAGGTCGCTTTCTTTAAGACGTTTCGCCGTACTGCCAAATTATGCAAAACAGTCGATTTACGACGACGCCTCCAGGATAAAACAACCCATTCTTAAAACTTACGATTATCAGTTGCACACTGATAAATCGCTCTAGAAATACACCTTTCTAAATTAGTACCTGGCGCAAATAACCAGTCAAGAAAAGAAAAAATTGTAAGATGAAGAGAATAAAGGGAGAGAAGAAGGAAATCAAAATTCGTGTGAATTTGTGAAATCCGATGTGCTCACTACTGAATTTCTACCCTGTATTTATAGGCAGCTAGTAAGGCTTAATTTTCATTCTCTTTAATGTGGGACTAAAATGAATCTTAATTTCCATTCCCTTCAATGTGGGACTAAAATGAATCTTAATTTTCATTCCCTTCAATGTGGGACTAAAAATGAATCTTTTCAAATTCACTTCTATATTAGTTCTTACTTGTGTTCATTTATTGCTCATTAATTGTCAACAAATGTTTCCAATTCCCACTCTAATCAATTAAAGTTCCAACAAAAGGGTTATGCCACGTAAGTACCAGAACCCCAAACAAAAAGATCAGAGTCACTAACCGGTCTCCTTACTCTGAGTGTGTGGAGATAACAGGCTTAATGTGATTGCGTATGAATGAAAAAGAGCAAAAAGGAGAAAGAGTAAGTTAGGCTTTAACATAATAGCATGATTTGAGTTGATTTGTGTATTCAGGAGGCTTATCTCCGCACAATTGTGGAGTAGTGTTCCTACGATATCCTTAGTGTGTAAGATTAGTACCTATCGATGCAAACTTAACCGAAGAAGACTTACAGCCTGGAATGAGTAACTGTTGATGTGTTTGTGCTTTCTTTGTTTTGTTTTATTTTAATTTTGCTCGGAGTGCAAAAGTTCAAGTCTGGGGGAATTTGATCAGTGCATCTTTATGCATATTCTCCTATATTTTTACTTAGGCATTTATTTACTTTATTTTGATTATTCTTATGTTTTATTATGTTTTTATATTTTATTTTATTTTTGGTTTAATTTGATTTTCGCACTTTATTTTTCAGCTTTAGCAGTCTGTGCGGAAACGATCATAACTAGAGTTCCGGGAATCCGTTTGAGGCGTTCTAAAAATCGCCGGAAAGCTAAGAGAGAGAGCTACGACTTTCATGTTGGAGTCGAAGTCAGATTCAGAGCATATTTTCCCCGAATATTTGTTGAAGTTACAACGTTAGAAATTTGTTTTAGTTTTGGGTCATATTTTAGGCCTGAGTTATGTTTTCGACCCACTTGGGTTATGAACCAGTTGGGTTATGAATTTTGTTTATAAGGAACCTTGGTTTACTGTTCATCAATATATACTATTCACGAAAAAATTGAAGGTTTGAGAAGAACTCATGAAAAACTAATACCTCCGGGCAAATCCTGCTGTGTACGGTTTCAACACTTTGAGGTTATTATAATATCAATTTAAATCTGATTCCTTTCAATCCTTTTCTATGAAGTCATTTGCTTAATTTGATTGCAATTGTTTGCTTAATTCAATTGTTGTTCATAGGATAGAATTGATTAAATTCGATTGTATGCATGTTCCTAAACTTAATTGCGTGTTATCGTTTGCTTAATTCGTTAATTCGTCATATTCTTAACCGTTTGCTTAATTCGGTAAACAGGAACATAATTCATTTGATGTTGGTAAGCGCTTGTCTGATTAATATCATAATCGAATAAGATTGGAGCCGTTTAGGGATTGATGTTATAATAGTCGATGATAAGTCGGAACCCGAATCAGTAGGATTAGCCATTTTATCTTATTTTAATAATCACTCTTTTTTATAGTCACTTATTTTAAGTATTTTTTCTCTTAATCAAAATTCAAACCCCCATAAACTGTTACTTTATTGGTCAATTACTACAAGAATCCTTGAGAACGATATTCTGAGTTACTGTCGTTGTACTGCATTTTTATAAAAACACTCGTTTTTGATCTGCGAGCGACAGCGGATCACACACTCCTTTGGTTGGATGAGCCTTCTTTAGGAGCATAATCATCGGAGGTCAGTTCTACTTGCATTAATGCTAGTTGTAGTATTGTTTGAGCTTTTCAGCATTACAGGGTCGAGAAAATGGTTCTCCGTTCAGGTGTTCGAGGTAATAAGCCCCGGTACCTTTTTTCGATCTCACCCAGTAAAAGCCTTCCCAATTTGCGACCAGCTTGCCCTCGCGCAAATCTTTTTGATTTCGGCGTAGGACAAGGCCGTCCACTTGGAAATCGCATTTTATGACCTTGGCATCACGGCGCAACATTATTTTTTGTTTCAGCGAAGACAAGACTTCTACCTAATTTTTCTTATACAGACTCTAACCAATCAAAAACACCAAAAACAATCCTCTTAGATTTTTATCATTAAATCCGATGAGAACAATTCTAATAAACCTCTTTCGAAATGCTTCCAACGATACTTTTTAAGTTATTCAATCAAAACTCATTCTCATCCGTGACTAATTGACTGAAATCTTACCTATAATAAATGGAGATTGGTGGATTCTATAAGTTTCTTTTACTCTTTAGGATAGCTCTATAATTGTATTTTAGACAGTTTTATTGACTACTCAATTAAATTTAATACTTCAAAAACTATTCTGTGTTATTTTAACATCAATGTATGATTTAACTATTTTGATCTCATAAAACATAGAAACCCACTTTCTAACCTTTAATTTCTTACACATTTTCTATGATTTGAATCTTACAAATTACTTTGGTTTTATATAAGTTTAATGGGAACAATGTGAATTTTAGCCATTTTCTCGGACTGTGGGACAATGATTCGAACCCAATACATTTTTTATTAACTTAAAAAATATAAAACGTGACCATAAGTCTTTAAAATATTACTCTATCTTCAATTGAATATTTAAAATATACTAGTATTATAAATATAAGTAGTGTTTAAATGTTAATTATTATTTAAAATAATTCAAAGACTAAATTTTTTTTTAAGTGTTCTATTTTTTTTAATTAAAAAATGTCATTATTATTTCAAAAACACTCGTCTAAAATTTGGATTTAGAACTTAAAATACTTGAGTCAGTCCTTTAGATATGTTGCATTATAAAAGATGCATAAAGAGATAATTAAAATGCTTTGAAATTTTATATTTCTACTGAGAAACATGTAACAAAAATATCTTCCATCCATAAGCTACGATTTGTAGCTTATAAAAAAATTAACAAAATTTGAACTTAAAATCAAACTACTACTAATGGTGCAGGTTATAGTAGCCTATGAATCAATACAAAATAACAGATTTAGATGAAATAATACATTTATTTAACTCTTTAACTTCAATATATGTCGTCCAAGGACAAGCGACTATTATCGTAGAATCCTTCTTTTAGATACAACATTTGATTAAAGAAGCAATCGTCGTTTGAATCCAAAGTTTCTGCATAGAATTTCTCAGTTTCTGGCATCTGAGTGATTAGTTGACTATCAGATTTGGCTAGAGATGTAAGAGTATCCAAAGGATTGTTCGTAGATTGTGATTCCGTTTTCAGTTCTGCACCTCCAACCGAATCCAAAGTGTTGTTCAAAGATTGTGTTTTCACATCTGCAATTCCAACCGAAGAGTGGTTTCTAAATGCTTCTGAATTATGTGTTACTGGTTGATTGCCTGTGATGCAAGAAAGGGAACTTCTATTTGCATTGATCAAAGGGTGATTGCTTGGGATGCAAGAAACAGAACTGCTATTTGCGTTATATGTTAACGGATGATTTCTTGGGATGCAAGAAATGAAACTGCTGCTATTTGCATTATTGACGGCAACTTTACAGCCTTGAAAGCTAGATGAACTTGGATAACCAGTTAGATAGTTATTTTGCTGAAACTGATTCGTCCCAATTGATGTTCGAAAGTTCGGTAAAAAACACGGCCTTTCGCTGGCAGAAGCCACTGGCATCTGGAAACAGTTAATGTTGTTGTGTGACTGAAACGACGGCCCTGGTGCATAACTCATCCTTCTAACATTCAATCCAGATGGCGTGTTTAGCCGACAAACTAAATGACTAGATCCGTACGACGGTGATGCATATGATGGTAATGTGCCGTTTATGAACCTTCCACCACCTACCGAACCTGATTGCAGATAAGGACTAGTAGAAATCGGGTGTTTATCTGATCTTTTGAGATTCAATCTGAATTTCTGCAATCCAAAATAAGATAAAGTTTATTACGACAAAATATTTTAACCATAAACTAGTCTGAAGTTTTTCGACAGAGAAAAAAATTCAAAAATTCGAATCTGTACCTGCAGATGACTCGCTACATTTTCCCTCGTAAGCCCTTCAATATTCATCAACTCCAGTATTTTCTTTGGATAAGCCTCTGCAATAACGGTTAAACGGTTAGAGAAACTACATATTAAGAACAATAAAATTCTTTAACTTAGTAAAGAAATATAATTCTGTGCTTTTCATTGATATGATATCACCAATATATACAATTGTTTCCAAATCCATTTTTAGGAAGGAATTGATGTCTCATGAATATAATTACATACGGAGATAATTCTATTAATATCCTATTACTTAGCAATCCTATTACTTAGGAAGATAAAAAAATTGACAGAAACTTACTGTCTAGGCCTAGTTGATTTACCGCGACAACAAATTTGTTATGCAACTCAGTATCCCAAACGAAACGAGGCTTCTTCTCGGTAGATCCATCCGTATCATTATCTTCCTCTGAATCGCTTCGTTCTTTTCGTTTTTCTCCTACATTCGGACTCTTATCAGCAACATTGTCATCAGACGCGGTATCTCGACTACATACCCTAGCAACATTGTCAATTTTCTCCTCCTCAGAAACCTTTTTCGCCACATTATTAGCACCAGAAACCTTTTTCTTTATCTGAACTTTTCCATCAATTTTCTTTCTCACAACATGTTGCCATATCGTCTTCACCTCTTCCATTCGAATTGGTTTCAAGATATAATCACTAGCACCGTTCATCACACCTTTCATCACGCTTTCCGTATCACCATTCCCCGACAACACTATCAATCACAAACACATAAAATAATCAATCACATGAACATAAAAATTGAAGAATTATGTACATACATGTTATCGATGAACTTACTAACAAAAGGTAGATCCATCTCGAGTTCAACTTGCTTCAGAAGCTTAAATCCGTCCATCTCCGGCATGTTAACATCGCAAATAACCAAATCAAACATATCTCTATTTTCCCTCAAAATTTCCAATGCTTTCCCCGATTCAGCAGTTGTAGTAACTGCACCAACCAAAATTAAAATTACAAGTCAATAAAACAGTAATGTTTAACAGAAATAACAACAAAATTAACGTGTTATGACGAAGAACAACGATAACGAACCTTTATAGTTGCATTTGAGAAGCATACTCTCCAACATATTCAAGCAAACTCGATTATCATCAACAGCAAGAACATGCATTCCGATTGGAAAAAGTTCATCAACCAAAGGATTCTCCATAACCATGATGAAGAACGAGATTGAAACAAAGAGAAACAAAGACAGGAAATAAGTTGAGAATTTTCTTTCTTAAAAGTGAACGAGTTCGGTTATTGTATCAAATAAATAGGGGTTGTAAGAATTTATGGAAATAAATTATTTTATGATTTGATATGATACTTTCCATAATTATTTATTAGTTAATTTTCAAGTAATGATTATTAATATTTAATACTACCAAAAAGAAAAGAGTTCCGAGTTTAGCTCAATCACATGAGATGAATAGACTTAATGCTTGTTTAGGTTTAATAAGGCATTTATGGCATTAATTGTGGGACTTATTTATTTTTTTATGTAATAATTATTATAGTTTTTGCACCACCTCATTATATTACTACTTATTATCATGAAATTTTTTTACTTACTATATTTATTTTAAATAAAAATAATTCAAATCTAATCCAAAAAAAAAAAAACTTTCAATGTCGTAATAATTATCAAAAATAATATCCTTCAAATATTTGATTTCCCTACATTTAAAAGGAATATATTTTAGTTGAACAAAAAAAAAGATAATATATTTCATTTCACTGTCTAAAAATATATATATTTTTTGTTTCACCGTGTCTAAAAAATTAGTTGATATAAAAATTGTTCAAACTTAATCCAAAAAAAATAATTTCAATGTTGTAATCATTATCGAAAATAAGAAAATATTTAATTTTCTTACATTTAAAAATAGAGTTTAATTGATACACAGAAAGTATAAAATAATTTTATATTTTTGACATTCAATAAAAATTTATCAATATAATATATCATATTATTTATTTAAAATTTACCTTTTAATATGGTGGGATACATGATGGGGGTTGGTTAACATGATATATTTTATTGTCTCTTTAAAATATTTTTTTCTACTTGACAAAAAATATATTTTTTATTTCACTTTATAAAAAATATATGTGTTGTTTTCTTGTAATATAGTCCCAAAAAAATTCTTTGAAATTATTTTCCTCCAAAAAATAAGTATAACCCTCAAATCTTGCTGAAAAGTGAATATATTATTTTAATTGATTGTGTAGTCTATTAAATAAAATCTAGTCCCTAAAATATATTGAATCTTTTATATTATTTTCTTTTAAATTTTGTCCTAAAATATGTATAACTTTTCTATCTTCTAAATATTTTCCCGTTTTTATGCAAAATAATAATATTTTAAATATTCTCTTGCCCTATGTATAAAAAAATTTGGTGTATATTTTTTTTACAAGTAATTTAGGTGTATTTTAGTATTAGTGTTCCCCTCAATGAAAACTTTAGGTGTATTTATTTAACCCTATTATATCATATTAAAACTTTAGGAGTATTTATTCATAGAGATCGATCATTTATTTAACCCTATCATATAAATTAAAACTTTAGGTGTATTTTAGTAGTGTTCCCCTCTATTAATCAAGCTTGGAGAACATTAACTTAATATTCTCTGTAGGCTTATTTATAAGCAGACGTTTTCTGTTTAATATGTATAGAGAATTTAAATATGTTTAATGATGATAAGTTAATTTTTTAAGTCCATAAAAAAGAACCATTCAAATATAAATTTTTACTTAAATATTCCAGTTTTAAAAATAACTCAGTTTTCAAACTATTTTCTAAAGTAACTCATTTTAAGTTACTGAAAGAATACATGCGCCAATTGGAATAGCGACTCTTCACAAGTATCATGTGTTGTCATAAATTGGATCAGAGACAACACATTGCCAATCCAATTAGCGACACAGTGTAAATGCTACAAGAATGTCGCCAATTCAACTAGAGACAAACATAAAAGTATTTTTTTTTTTTAAATAGAGGTGTCTGGTCATTTATTTCCACGGTTCATCTCATATCTTTGTATCACTAATAACATGTATCGTCGCTACTACGGGTCATCTATTCAAGAGAGAAGCCTCCGATGGACATGCTGTTTTGGAACATTCAAAGTTTTAACCAACTAAAGAGGGAGCTGAATCGGTGGTTAGAATGAGACATTCCTGAAGGGGAAAATTAGAAGTATCGAGAGACATGATCGCTTGCGAGGGTGAGTTCGCGTTAAGACTGACAAGGATGTTAGGGAAGTGATGTTTGGACCAAATGATATTAGTTTGATTGTTGTAATCAGTTAGAAATGTTTTATTTTTTTGTTCCGTCATCTGTTGTATGTGTTGTTTGTTGTTAACATTGTTGTAACAAAAACTCATTAATATATGAAAATATAAGGTTACAACAATTGAAAGGAGAAACTAAATTATGGCGCAGAGGTCACTCTGACATTGGGACAATTTTTTCGATTGTGTTCGGATTGACGACATATACTACATAATCTTATCATTTTATCAGTCGTATCTATTTCTGTTCTTATACGTGTGGTGTTTGGGCGTCCTTTTTTCTTTCTTCGCATCTCATCGTTGTGCCAAACCATGTCCCCTTGATATGTAGACCAATATTCCTCCATTGCTAGCATTGCGAAGGCTTCGTTGTAGACATTCATAACGTTAATGGCCTTGTAAACATCAGATAGATGGTTATAAGCATCATGACGAGCATGTGCGCATGCCACAATGACATGTGAGCAAGGTACACGGAATGCCTGGTACTTGCCACAGCCACACCAAAATCTGTTTAGTTTGACAACATAAGGTAAATTTGGCCTCCCCACATTATGATCCATTGTTTCCTGTACACTGAAAGTTTTCCTATGACGGTCAAAGACTGTAACTGCATGTGCGTTGGCTTTGATAGTTTCCTCTTTCATCACTTTCATTATGTTTTCACCGAATAGTTGACCCGACATCACAAAATAATTGACCCGACATTAACACTGCACTCCATCTTTCGCCTCTTGTTGTGAAAAGTGATGTCATCCTATAATAGGTTTATCTCACCGATGCGGTGATTGGAAGTTTTGTAATTCCTTTGAAGACGTCGTTCATGGATTCCACAAGATTTGTTGTCATGTGGCCCCAACAAAATCCACCGTCAAATACCCTTGTCCACCTATCCAATGGAATGTTATCCAACCACCTTCCTGCATCTATATTTGACATCCTAATTTCGTTAAGGTAGTATTGAAATGATGGTTGAGTTAGAACATACCCTGCATTCACAACTTTTTTGCGAAGGTTCTTGTCTTTGATTGCACGCATGAAGTTTTGTGCGATATGTCTAATGCAATATACTTGGGTAGAAGAAGGATTATGCCACCCGTTATCATGGTTATTGTAAGCACTCTCAATAGCAGCATGTTTGTTTGAAATTAAACAGAGATTGGCTTGTGGGGCCACATGTGTTCTGAGATTCTTAAGGGAGTACGATGCTCTGACTTTCCCATTACACAAAGGAGTACATAGGCACAAGGGCCCCAATCCTTGGCGAGCACCCTATCTTAAAACCACCCATTTCCCCTTAGAAGCGAATCTTTAGAAGAAAACAAACAACTTAGCTAAATTTACTCTCGAATCGAATTAAGAGGTTCCCGTTGAGTACAATGGACGTAAAGGGTGCTAATACCTTCCCTTTGTGTAATCGACTCCCGAACCTAGAATTTGGTTGCGATGACCATGTTCTTATCTCTTTGAAGGTTTTATCGATATTTTCTTATTCCTGCGTTGGAACGAATAAAGTTCGACGACGACTCTGTTCGAACATTTTTCCGCGTCCATCGCGAGGATCATATTTTTCGAGGTACGACACTGGGGAATACAAATGTTCCTAGTGGGTTTAGCCTACTTTGATTTATTTATTGCTTTTTATTTGATTTGTTTGTTATTGCTTATTCTGTCTTGGCGCTTGGTGATCCGATATGGTGAGATAAGTCATATACCCGGACTTGAGTGCACTTATGATAGGAGGGTGGTATAGTCTTCTTGGCTTACGTGGAGTAGTCCTTACTAAGCTGACTTGAGATCCCCCGCTCAGTGGAGGCCCCTTTGGAATTACTGATGTCTTACGAGTAGTCGTAATTGGCATTACTTTTTCCGACCTGGGAGCCTGAGAAGATGAGGACCTTAGAACCCTTTAACCCATCTTGGCCTTACTAGGACGTGGTGCGGTGGCTATTCAGGTGTAGACTTGAATTAGTTGTTACGCAATACCACACTCAGACGAGTTTCTCTTGAGAATATTGTTGGCTGACTAGTAGTCGTCTAAGCCGATAATATCCAAAATATGGAATTATGACTCTGGGAACGTTTTAGGACCTTGTTCTATAGGTGATGATATGACCTTAGTAAATACATTTATGGGTTGGTTCTTACCTTTGGCTTCATGCTCATGTCGAACCTTTGAACCTGTGTGCTTTGTGTGGTCTTGTTCATGGTTGTTGCATCCATGCACTTTTGCATTCATGAGCATACATATGCATTCCTTCCAGTTGTCAGCGAACTCATTTCAACTGTTTCTTGTCCAGTTATTTGTTCACCATCAAGCTATTTCCTCAACACAACTACGGAACTAGAGTTGCTATCAGTTGAGAATGGAAAATCAAGAACATCACAATGCCGAAGTTAGAATGGAAATTGATGAGTTGAATGCCATCATGACCAAGCTCACATAAATGATGTAAGTTCTAATTGCTAGAGGAGAATCACCTCAGAGGGAGGTGATTTATGAAATCCCAACTAGTGTTGTTAACCCTCCACTGATCCAACAACCAGCTTCTACTTAGCCCGAATTTAGGTTACCTCTGAATTACTTGCCACCCTTTACAACTACTCCAATGATTGACCATTCGTACTGCCGTTATCTTCAGCTTCTTTGTTCATTGAATCTCAACCTGTTGTGTAATGGTGCTAGAAAGTCCACTGGGAACTTTCAAAAGAAGAAGGATGGCGATACCCATGCTATTTCAGTTGAAAGGAAACCTCATTATAAGCAACAACATTATATAGCTGTAGTTGCTCCTGTTGTCAATGCTCAACTAGTTCATGCTCCTCGTCAGGCTGTTAGGCTAATTTCATTAAGGTAGTATTAAAATGATGGTTGAG